TTGGAATCTTACCTCTTCCCCCAGAAATCCTTCTCCACTGGATCAGCAGGAGTTGAAGGCACTCCTGTCCGGCTGTGATTCTCCTGGTCACGGTAGGAAGCTGCTCGCTCGCCCTCCACACTCTGTGACTATGCACTGTGCTGCGCGCAGGGGGACTCAGGTTTGCGCTGCTGGGCTCGTGCCCTGCCTGTCCATCAGCATCTCTGATCTGTCTGCAGCTGCTTCATTTTGTGGAAAATTAGCAGCAATGTTCTGAGTATTTCCAGTGACCATCTGGTGGGGTCTATCTATGGAGTGGGGGAGCCTGTGTAAATATGGCCACGGACCCCCACTTTAGGAAACTTATGGTGCCCACAGAGAAACTCACAAGGTGAGGAAACCTGCGTCTCCCTCACCCCAGGAGCAAGTGAAGGAACTGGGTGTGTTCAGTGTGAAAAGCCACCTACTCAAAGGGTCACCAAACTATTGCCCTCAAGTGTGAGAATGGCTGTTATGAGGAAGTGTGATTTGACTTCTGCCACATGTCCCCATAGAGGGGAGTGAGGAGCCAAAGACACGCGGGTGAATCACAAATAAGGAAGGGCAGCTGCATCAGCTCCTTCTTTGGAAAGAGGCGGCCACTCCACACGGAACGCAACCCACGCGCGGGGAATGGGATTTTCCACTGCCTGGAGCCACCTGGGCACAGGCCCGGCAGCTACCAGGCCCAGCATTGTGGGGGTTCTGTCAGCTGCTCTGGCCTGGGAGGTCCTGGAGGGCAGGCCCAGCCGCTGGCTCTGTGTGTGCAGAGGCTGCCAGGAGTCCCGCCAGGGCCTTCTTCCCTGGTTTATCCCCACAACAGCAGGTTTTTGATGATGCAATGAGAACAATGCCAATTGAGGGGGAAAGAATGGATCCTTGTCCCTTTTTGTCCCTCATGTTCTCAACAAAATGCAGAGCAGCCAACTCCATGGCCAGGAACAGCTTCGTGCCTCCTGGGTTTAGGACTCTAGAACCACTGGTGGAACCACTAGGGGTCCTCTGGCCATGCTTATTTCCTGGCTTTCCCTCCTGGTGCACCTGTCCTTTCTTCCTCCCTGTCTCACTACCCGGTTGACAGGCCCAATATCTGCTTGAACTTTAGAGCTGCCTCACAGACAGCGTCCCCCATAAGCCTTCCTTAGGGTGGGCTGAGAGACTCCCTGGGGATCAGGACTCTGCTTAGGCTCTTATGCTATTATCTCTCAGCTTGAAAAAAATATATCTCCTTACACCCCCAGGCCCCCCTCCAGAACCAGGAATACCTCTGACCAGCAGATTAGGCAGCAGCTACCAACCCTCCACAGGCCTGGGGTAAGAAGGGCGGCTAGAACCGAAGTCCAGAGATCCAAAACTGCATGGGAGTTGAGTGGGGTGGGATGGCGGCCCTCACCTGGGGCTGGGAAGAGGGCTGGGTTTGAGGGTGACTACTGTGACCCAGTCCCTTCAGTGTGGGCTCATTGTTTCCTCCCTGCCCTATCTGGTCTGTGTCCTGGTCACCCTCAGGCCTGGCGGGAAGCCCATTGTTGTGCTCTGAGTGATGGAGAAGGTTGGGATGCAAAGGACAGAAGGGTACTGCAGGGCCCCAAGGAAGGAGGGTGGGGGGATTCAGGAGCAAAGCTAATGAATTCAGGACTCCAAAGGAGGAGCCTTGTCCGAAGCAAGAGATAGGAGAAGAAAAGATCGGGAACAAAATGACCCAGAGCTCTGTGTCTCTGCCTGGAGCCCCAGAAAGGAATTCCTAGTGCTCCCAGAGAGAGGCAGCTGGGGCAGCCATGAAACTGGGGGTTTAGTCTCACATGGTTGTGGGTTCATTCACCATTTTGGAGGGGTGTCAGATGTCATGTGCTTGTTTGCGTGGGGGCTGGCACATCTTTTTATGTAAAACTGCTTTCACCCCAAATGGAAGTAACCAGAAGCTGGGGTTGTGGACAGACAGGTAGCTGGCCTGCGGTCCCCACACAGGGAGGTAACAGGCAGGTGCCAGGTGCTGTGGGTGGCCCCTGTGTGGGGGTGGTGAAGGCTGAGAGCCTGCCTGGCATCGTGCCAGAAGGCAGCCAGGGAGCTGGAGGGAGGGAGGCAGCCATCAAGGCAGGAGGGGAGCAAAGTCAAGGAAAGGGTCAGTCAGAAGAAGACGGGGTTGTGCAGTCAGGCAGGGGGCCAAAGAGACCCGAAGAAGGGAACCAGGAAAGGGCAGAGCCAAGCCAAGGTCAGGTGCAGAAGCCAAGGGCAGGGCCAGGCCTCCAAGACAGCCTTGTTGGGGACGAGTCCAGGTCTTCAAGCCCAGCCCCTGTACTTTCCACTCTGGAAACAGGAAAACTACCACAAAGAATCTGATGCCACCCTGTGCCCCCAGGCAGGTCCCTGCCTTTTGTTCCTTACCATCCTCTACTCCCCTGGCCACCACACGGCTCCCAGCAGCCCTGTAGGCCTGGGACAGAGCAGCCAAGGCCCTTGGAGGGATTCTGCAGGGGGATGGTTGCTCCGTCAACAAGGTCTCCAGGACAGGCTGACTCCTGTTTCTGATGGAAAATAAGGAAAATAAAAAAAGAAAGAAAGAAAGAAACCCACCTTCGTTAGAGCCCAGCCGGTGCCCGGTGCCAGGCACGCTCTCCAGTTGGACGTGTTAGACCTGTTGTCTGGATGGTGGAGCAGCAGACCTCCAGGGTCACAAACTTGACCCGGGCCTTGAGTCTTTCCAGAACCGTCGCCCAGAACCCCAAGGCGCAGCTCTTTCCAGAGGTCAGTGAGACCTTCACGGAAAGAGGCTGAGGCTGACCCTCAGAGGCAAGTGGCCTGCTTAGGGACAAATGGTTACCCTCAGGCCTGGCCTATGGATGCCCAGGCTCAGGGGCAGCCCGTGGCTCCCTGGTGGCTAAAGAGGGAAGAGGAAGAGAGGAGGACATAGGCAGGCCTGTCTTCAGGACTGGACGACAGGTGGGAGGGGTCCCTCTTCTGGGGCATGGAGGGCTGGGGGAGGCTGGAAGGGGATGTGGCCTGTGGCTGAGTTCTGCTTTCTTGGAAAGCCAGGGAACCGGCACCACAGAATCAGAGCCCCTGGGGGCTTCCAGAACTTCTTTCCTCCAGCCCCTGCCTCTGTATTAGATGCCCCTCAGCTACCCTAAGGTGGAGCCGATGGTTTCCACCCTGAGCTGGAAGCTTGTATTTTCTTAAATGTAAATGGGGGAGGGGAATCATCACTTCCTTTAAGTCTTCACTCAAAGCTCACCTGAGAGGCCACCCCTGGACACCATATTTCAAATTGTGACTGTGTCCTCCACCTCCTTAATCCAGTCCCTTCTCTATTCTTCTATGGCACGTCTCACTGTCTAATGTACTATTTAATTGGTTTGTTGATTTTTGTCTGCCCCCCACCCCGATCCCGATGCCAGTGCCATCAGACCTGAGTCTTAGCTATCGTGTTCCCAGAACCTACTGTAAACCAAGAAATCACAGACTGAAAAAAAAAGCAAAGAGAGTTTCATTCAGGTGCAGAATAAATGTGCAGAAACCAGGGTCCCTGGTTGGGAGCATTCTTTGGGGGAATATAAATAGGCTTGAGAAAAGTTCAGCAATTGGAAACTGGCTCAAAGTAGGGTGCTCATAAATTTATGTATGTTATGTATGTATGTTGGCACTGGGAATTGAACCCAGAGTGCTTAACCACTGAGTCACATCCAAGGCCCTCTTTATCTTTTATTTTGAGACAGGGTCTCGTTGAGTTGCTGAGGGTCTCACTAAGTTGTTGAGGCTGACTCTGAACTTGCAATCCTCCTGCCTCAGCCTCCTTGAGTTGCTGGGATCACAGGTGTGCACCACCATGTTCGGCATAAAATTTTTAAAGTACAGTAGAATGTCTGTGTCAATAGGCCAACTGGCCAATCTAATATTTCTCAAACTTTGGAAAGTATTGTTAGATTTCAGAAAATTGTTCCCTCTGTCAGATCCAGTTCCTGACAAGATGCCTGTGTGGCAATTTACCCCTGCCAGAAAAATCTCTAATGCTTAGAAAAGACCATTCTGCAGCCATGTTGATTTTTATGGTATCCCTAAAATAGGGCCAGACACTCAATAAATATTTGTTGAAAGAATGCATGAAAGACCTATGTAAAGTGTCTCACAGGACATCCAGCTCCTTATTATAATTGCTACTGTTGTTTGCTACAGGTGACTTGTGATCCCTCAGTCCCTCTGGCCACCAGATGATCTCTGAGCTTCCCTTTCACTCTAAAAATCTTAGTGTCCGAGATGCTCCTAATATGAAACCTCCCCTGATCCAGCTAATTCCCAACCCCTTCTCCTGGCACTCCTCAGCGGACCTCCGCCAGGCTTGGTGCGTGAAGCTCTTCCTTTTGACTCTGAGGATCAGAATGGGGCGCAGGTGTGGGATCATGAGTCAGCCCAATAATTCCTGGAACAGTTTCCATTCAGATATTCATGTGTTTTAATTTAATTGACTTGGTTGCACTGTTTCATAAATTTTATTGTTTTCAATAGAGGCAATTCATCATGTGCACAATTAAAGCCATTTGATTTTAATTTCTTTATCAAGAGTTTTCACAGAAATAACTTCCTTGGATTCAGAAAAAAATTTACCAGGCCACTTGCCCTGATGTGGGGTTTGGACGTGTGACCCTTGGCATGGAGCTCCACACTGTCCTGCCCTGGGTGGGGCCCTGTCCCTGGCCATGGATGTCCCCTGTGGGGACAGGATCACCCGGACCCGTTGCCTCTGTGAGGGGGGCTCAGGTGGGTCGGGCTCAGCCATCCTCATGGGGCCCCCTTGGTCCCCTGAAGGAGGCAGGCCAGCGCCCTCCAGCTGCCTCTGTGGGGGCAGTTTCAGGAGCAGAGGCAGCACATGCTCCCGGTATTCGCTGAGTAACTGGGATGTCCAGGGAGGGCGGAGGGACAGGTCTGGCAAGTTCTGCCTTGTTTATACTCAGGATTACCTCACATCCAACCAGCCTCCCCGCCCCATTCGCAGGGCCGGCCCTCGGCCCTCAACCTCCTTTTCCCCACATGCCTGGGAAGCTGGGGGCAACATGGACCTTCCTCTTGACATCAGCTGAGCCTGAAGACTCATCCCTGGGAGGCCATGGAGAGGGACAGCGCCAGGGTAAGTGTGCGTGTGGCTCTCGGCTGGCTGATCTTCCCGGTGCTGAGGGACAGGGGCGGCTGGGAGACAGGTGAGGCACAGCCGCCCCGGTGCCTCTGGTTTGCGGGAAAGGAATGCCTCCTTGGGTCGGAAGTTACTGGGGACTAGGATCTCTGGGCCTCCTCTGCATCATGATCCCTGGAAGCTGCTCCCGCGGGGAGAAGCTGGTGGGATTTGGGTTCAGGTCCCAGGACTGAGTGGCTGAGCCCTTCTTTGTGACCTGGGAGCAGTCTGGCCAGGACATCTGTGCTGTTAAGTGGTCAGTTTTGCTGGTTGCTAATCTAATCTAACCTAACCTGATTTTTGCTGGTTTGAGAGTCAAGAGCATCTTACCTGATCTTCAAGTCTACCTTGTTTAATCCCCTAGTAGATTCCAAAACCTTCCCAGAAAAATATGACTGTATACATTTAAAGATTTTTAAGGGATTTTTCAACCATGCTTAGTCACTTATTTTTGCTCAATAATCCTCATCTTGGGAAGGGCTTTCTTGTGTCTAACCACAATTCCTTGCTACAACATGGTTCTTTTCCTTTGCTGCTCTTGGGGTAGTAGAGAGCAGCTGAGCTGTTTTCCGTGGGCGGAAAAGCTGGTTACAGACGTGTAAAGCCTTCCCAAGGCTTCAACTATGCCTCTGCTTTCTAACTTCTCTGAGTGCTCAGGTCTTGTTTTCTGCTCCTCTCCATGTTCTTTGTAGTTTCTTGATACGGTAGAATCTGGGACTCTTGGGAGACGGGCCAGCCTGGATTTGAGAAAGATCAATTCATTCTGTGTTCCAGCCTGGAGTTGGCTTGTGGTCCATTTTGAACTCCAGATGTGTTTCTGGAAGCTTTACCATTATTTTTTCCTACCAACCTTTTAGCGCTCTCTTGACCCTTCTTTCCCCAGGCCACCTCCCCTGCCTTCTGGTCTCCTTGGCTCATGTCTCCACCTCACCAAGGTCTTTTGGCCTCAGGCCTCTGAGACTCAATGGGGTCACTGGTGATCAGAAAGAATGGCATATAGGATGGAATGGAGTTCTGTTGGAAGCCTGGAGAACGTGAAACTGCAGTCACAACAATGGTGTCCTCCTGGGTGGCCTGGTGGGAGTCTAAATTTGATGGTCCCTATACCCAAAGAGAAGGGCTGAGCTATCTAGAGGGGGGCTGAGCTCACAGTGGAGGTGAATGGATGGGCCTGGGCCTGGGGCAGGGTGATGGGATGGTGTCCACCCAGGAGGCCCATGGTCCCAGGAGGTCCATGTCCCCAGAGTCAGGAACCCATGTGACAGGTCGCTGGAGGAACAAAGGATGGAGAACAACCTTTTATGTTTAATGAAAAAATGAAGACTTCGAATTAATACTTAAATGTCAAAGGTATGGTAGGCCATGATCATCTTGGAAGGGAGATTGTCAGAACTTACTTCAAAATGAAAGAAATGAACCATTCTTTCCTTATTTAAGGTTTTTAAATTTTTCCTTTGGTCTTAGGTGGATTCCCTGGGGTGAGGACAGGGCAAGCTAGAGAGGGGGCTGCTAATCATGTTTGAAGGTATTTGTTGAGATTGATGAGATGGGAATGGGCTGGGAGATGCTGGTCAATAAGGCCAAGCCTTCTCCCCAAGGGCTTTACTGCAGAGAGATGCTTTGCAGTTTAAAACACTAGTAAGGAAGATGGTGGTCAATGGGCATGAGCCTGCTGATGCTCCTGTGGGAAAAACTAAGTCTTCAGAAGGATCTTGAGAAAGGGATGGACAAGGCACTCAGTTTCTCCATATTCTTCAAAAGCAAAGGTGAGACAGGTGCAGTTTGCAGACCTAGAATCACAGCAACTTGGGAGAATGAAGCAGGAGAATCCAAATTGGAGGCCAGCCGGAACAGTTTAGTGAGACCCCATCTCAAAAACAACCAACTAACCAAACAAATGAACAAAACACCAACAAAAACCCAAAACCAATCAAAAGTTTCATGCTGTGGTGGACAGAGAACTGACCAAGTTCCAGGCTGTGGGCAAGCTCTAAACCTCCCTGTACCTTAGTTTTTTTTCCTTTATAAAATGGAATAATAACAACACCAATAGAATAGATACTGTTATATTGTGTGCATGTAAGAATATGTAACAGCAAGTGCCACCATTATGTACAACTATCATGCATCAATAAAAAGTGTAGAAAAATAGACTGGAGTCCAACACGACAAAGAAAAAGAAGGAGAGGAGGAGGAGGAAGGAGAAGGGAAGGAAAGAAGGAAGGAAGGAAGGAAGGAAGGAAGGAAGGAAGGAAATTTGATCTTTCGCCTAGTAAGCCTCTTCTAGAACAACATCCAACGTTCCAACATTGATAGAGATGCAGATATAACCACAGTGTTAGGAATTACCTCCATCGTTGTCGCCCTCTGGGGTCTAATCCTGGCTCCTCTAAATTTGAACAAATATCTTCTCTCTACATCTAGTTTTCCTCCACCTTCCAAAGAAGAGGGTTGGACAAACTTCCTCCTGACTCCCTTTCTGGTTCCCTAACAGTGGCTGGAATCCCAGAGAGTGGGATTGCCGGGTGCCACACTGGGTACATGCATCCATTCTTCCCAATGATGCATATTAGACCTGCAGAGCTTATTAGAGAAAGACTGAAGTACATCCACTGATAGAGCAACCATCCTTTGTGGGTCAGATTTTCTTATGCTGGGAATTCCTATTTCTTATGCTGGTTCCAAATCACCCAAGACCACACATGCTCTGGATTGGTGAGATCCAGGACCCTCTAGGACAAGGCAGCTTCCCCAGGACGGGCTGGGCAGGCCCCCAAGGTGGCAGGCCCGTGGACTCAGTTCACCTTGCCAACCTCAGCCCCAAAGTGCAGGCACCTCTGAAGCTCTGTGTGCCCTTCGCCCCTGTAGGGACATAGCCCTCACCTGAGACCCGCTTCTCACTGTTGTTGGTCCTGAGCAGCCTTCTGCCTGTTACACCTGCCTGTCTTCCCTGAGTTGTCCTCTGTGACTTGGCAATGGGAGCACAGGTGTGTGGGAGTGTGTGCCAGGCTCCAGGCTGGGTGCTGGGCGGGAAGACTGGTTGATAGAACAATGGCCTCTTAAGTGTCTTGTTATGGCCAAACAGCTTCCTCTTGGCCTAGCAACAACAGGGGTGAACTGAGCAGGTGGGCAGGGAGCCGGCGCCAGGGGGTGGTGGTGAGTCTGCCTACATTCCGGGAACTCCAGGTTCAGGGAACCAGAGAGTGGGAGAGAGCCCTGTGGCCCTGAAGGCGCAGTAAGGCCTGGGCCAGGTGGCGAAGAGGGGAAAAGCCCTTATCCACCGGAGCCCAGCCCCGTGCAGTTGTCACACTGGATAGGGTCAGGGCCACCCTACTGTAGCCCATGGGGTTCTTAGTGGCCCCCAGGGAAGCATTTTAGGCTATAACAAGGGGAGCTCCATCCTGCCCCTCTTGGTCCTGTTGGGGGCTGGGGGCAGCTTTTCCTGTCTAGTCCAGAGTGTTGGGGTTCCAGCCTATGGTCCTGCCTGTGCCCACCCTTTTAAAGTCCTTGATACTCAGAGTTTCTGGGGAAGAGGGTGCGTATCTGTGGCCTAGGTCTGGGGAAGGGTCTTTCCTCTCTGGAGGATGGTGACAAACAGGCTGTGGGAGAGTACAGTGTCATGGGACAGCTCAAGGATGTGGCTAGAGGTTTGAGCTTCCAGTCCTGCCACTGTCCCTAACAGGCTGTGTGATCTCAGCAAGCCACCAAGCCTCTCTGGTCCTTCATTGCCTTATCCATATGATAAAGGGCTTGGACTGAAGGGGTTTCAAATTCCTCCCAGCTCTGACAGTCTGAAGTACCCAGCCCCCCACACCAGGGGTGGTAACTTTATGAAAGGATGTCCCCAGGGATGGAGCTTCGACTGGACCTGGAGGGACCCACTGGGCCTGCCCCAGGCTGGGAGGTTGCCACCAAGGTCACTGGATCTTCTTCAGGTCTACCAGGGGAGCTTTAGATAGCGTCCTCCTCACTGTCTGCGTGGGGCTAAGACTGACCACATCTGTAAGAGTCCATGCTGCTGCCTCTTTGCAGAGCCTGGGGCTCCGTCCACAGCACAGCCACATAGCCAGGGGGGAAGCACCCATGAGCTGGCTGTGGTGTCACTCAGCACAGACAGAGAGCCCCTCTCCTCCATGACATCACCGACTGAGTCCACAGGAGACACGGGAGGCCAAAGGCAGGACACTCTCAGGGGCTGGTTCACTCACTCCCATCCCCCACTAGGTCAGCAGTCCCGGGGGAGGAGTCCCTACAAGAAACCAGGAAAATTCCCCACTCACCTGGAGGTTCAGAACCCAGCCCTGGGAACTCAGAATAGAGAGCACCAGACTGAAAGAAAGGGGCCTTGGATTTCGTTGTTTTTAAATCCCTGGTCTGCAGTAAGACAGACCTCAACAACTGCAGGCAAAACACACAAATGTTTCCGGTCTAGCTAGGCGCGGTGGCATGTGCTTGTCATCCCAGCAATTTAGGAGACTGAGGCAGGAGGATCACAAGTTTGAGGCTAGTCTCAGCAATTCAGTAAGATCCTATGCAACTTAACGAGACCCTGTCTCAAAATAAAAAATGAAAAGGGCTGGGCATGTAGCTCAGTGGTGAAGGGGTCTTGGGTTCAATCCCTCCCCAGTCCTGAACAAGAGGAGCCCATGTTTAAGGCCTCTGCTTCCTAATCTGTGAGATGAGAATCATAATCCTTACAGACTCCTGTCCAGGGAAATGCGTGAAAAGAACCTGGAGCCAGGAACTGTCCTCTGCTCTCTTCCTGGTGGCCCTCACTTTCCTTGCCCCGAGGCCTCCCTTGCTGCCTCCTGTCCCAGGATATTTGGAGGGTCCAGCAGGGGCACCCTGGAGTGCAGGCCTTTCATGATGGGGGAAGGGCTCACAGCCATGTTACCCCCAGGGCTAACCCCAGAGGCCCCCAGGGTAGGTGAGGAGGAGAGGCAGGGCCAGGAGAGAAT